AACCAATTACTGTGGGCCCTTGCATACAGAAAACACACAACTAATATATAAATTGAAACTGATAATTGGTAGTGTACATGTACTAATAGCAACACGTTAATGGTTGCACGAGTTTTCGTGATGTGTTGCATTTTAAGCAGACTGTTCTCCACGTTCTGGCATCGTCTACATTATATGATGTCTTGGCAGCGTTGTGGTAGTAGTCCAGCAACAATGTTCTAAATCGTACCAGTGAGAGATCTTTTTGCCTTAGATTTTCTGGCAGAGAGTTGTAAGTTCTTATTACTCTGATGAAGAAAGAACGTTGGTATGTCAGCGTCTTGCATTTGCGAGGACGGAAGGAGAGCAGGTTGGTGTCAACCGAGGTTCTAGTGAGCCTTGATGGGATAAGTGGCGGCGGAAGGATTTCGTTCGAGACAGTTATAATGTTGTTTACAGCTTTAAAGAAAAACATAATGTCAAGGAACTCGTGCCAGTAGGTGATTGGTAGTAAGTCTAAGGAGATCAGTCTGTCTTTGTACGTTTCTCCGCACACGTATGGTAATTTCAAAATGAACTTTGTAGCTCGTCGTTGGATGCGTTCTGTCCTCGTAATTAAGTCGATCGATTGTGGTGACCAGACTTGAGTGGCGTAACCTAGCGCTGAGCGAACAATTGATAGGTACAGTGTGCGGCGTATCTTAACATTTGTAATTTCCGTTGCAGCCCTACGCAGGAAACCAAGCATTTTGTTTGCCTTCGCACAGCGATCGAGGGTATGGTAAGACCAGTTTAACGTGTCCATAATCCATATACCTAAATCTTTCTCTTTTGTTATTGATCTTATATTCGTATTTGATAGGATTCTTTTTCCTTGTTACACGCTGACATTTGCATTTGTCTTGGTTGAAGACAAGGCCAGAAGATGTTGACCAGTTCTCCAAACTACTCAGGTCACTTTGGAAGGAGATGGCATCGGAAGTAGAATCAACTTTCTTAAATAGTTTCGTGTCATCGGCAAAGGAGGCGATCTTGGAGTGCTCTACTGCATCCGGCTGGTCGTTCGCGTACAACAGAAACAGTATGGGACCTAATATTGAACCCTGTGGAACTCCTGTCAGGACAGGTCTCGCGGAGGATGTAGCTCCTAGCACAGTCACACGTTGCTTGCGATTTATTAGATATGACTCAAACCAGCGAAGGAGTTTACCAGAGATGCCATAGACGTTCCTTAATTTGCTTATCAGATATTTATGGTGGACTTTGTCGAATGCCTTGGACATGTCCATGTAGACTACATCAGTTTGCTTGCCACCGTCCAGAAGTGAACCAATATAGTCAAGAACCTCTAATAGCTGAGTTGTACACGACTTTCCGGGAATAAAACCATGTTGGCTATCATTGATTAATTGCAGCAAATGATCACGTATATTTCTCAGGACACAACGTTCTAGTACTTTCGATATTATGGAAAGAAGGGAGATAGGTCTATAGTTCTCTACTTGGCTCTTTTCGCCTTTTTTGTGTACCGGAACAATGTTTGCTAATTTCCATTCATCAGGTATTTCGCCACAGCTTAACGACTTGTTGAATATTTGGGTGAGGGAAGGTGCAATCTGCCACGCAGTTTCTTTTAAAAGTCGAGATGGTATTCCGCCAGGTCCAGTAGCCTTGGTGGTGTCTAGCGCTAAGAGTGTTCTTGCGACTTCTTCTATTGTTAGTTGGAGGTCTGACTGTCCTGACGTTGAAGGTGGAGATGATGGTGGAGAGGAACGTTCTTCTAGGTTATCATGATCAGTGTTGAACACTGATGTGAAGTAGCGATTGAATAGATTGGCAATAGCAGTAGGAGTAGACACATCGTAAGTTTGTGATGATTCAGGTTCAGCGGCATTTCCCATTGACATAATATCTGGAACACTTGATTGTTTATTGTTCAGCTTAAAGCTCACATGTGAGATGATCAGTTTTATCAGTGCTCGAAGTACTATTTAAAAAACTCATTAATAATTCAGGAGCAAAACACAAAGAAAAATCATAAGCGTGTCGTGGTTTTATATGTGATAAAAAATGAAATACCGTAAAAAATCACATTATCACGTGGTACAAATGTTGTTTTTTCATTGGACAATTTGAATTTGAGGTATAATATATTAATGTATTATGTAGCAGGCCGGTAGGATTAGGCCTACTCCTTATTATGCTGACAATGGACATATCTCAGAGATATATTTTTACAAACCGTCATACCTTGTACAAAAGTTGGTTGACATGCTATTACATGTAACTGCTGGTAAGTTAATATGTGCAGACAACCATGGGCAGATTTACTGGGGGGGGGGGAAGGGTTATGTCTCAATCAATTCTATGGTTGCCCAACACCCCCTCCCCCCGGGCGTTTGTCGGGCATTCTCAACTGTACTTGTTCCCAGGGTCGGGCATTTGCTTTCTGCAGGTTAGCCCCGGGGTGGTGGGGAATTTGCTCGAGGCTAAAAAAAGTCGAATACTTATCGCTTGTTTCGCCATTTAGCCGTACTTTAGTACGCATGTTTACATGTGCGTGCGTATCACTGATATACACTAAGATGCGTAATGCAAATTAATCATGGCGGACATACACACAAAGACTTTTTTCTTGTCCATCCTGTTGATATATTGTCATTGACTTACTTTCGCAGTTTGATATTGCTATATAAAGTTTTGAGACTTCAATATTTTAATTAAAAACGTTTTGGAACGATCAATGGTTACAGAATCGATTTTAAATACAGATATATTGATACGTGATAGAGCTTGCATTCGATTTTTTGGATCAGAAATCCTCAGAAAACTTATATTTTGTCCCCCAAGGGTGGGTGGGGCATTTGCGTCAATGTAAGTCCCCAACGGTGGGGATTTTGTTGCATTATTTGGACCCCATAGTGGGGCATTTGCAACGTTTTTTCGCCAAAATGACAAACGCCCGGGGAGGGGTTGGGCACCCATGGAATTGATTGAGACATTAGTACTGAGTATAACACCCTGATGTGTTATAAAGTGTTCAACCCCACCAAAATTTCACTTCACCTCTCCTACTTTGTGTGAAAGCCTTTAACCCTAACCCCCGCCAAAGCTCAGTGGTGCTGCTTGCACCCCACTAGAAAATGTTTGGCAACCCCTCCTTTTATAAAATGAAAATCCGCCCTTGCAGACAACAATCCACGTTTGTTTTTAAAACGTGCTGAAATGGCTGAAGCACATTGCTATAAACATGTAGAATAAACACTATAAACTCATCGCCTTTGGAAATCACCACACAACTAAAAGTAGATTTTGACTACTTGTAAAAATTAACTATAAACACGATCACTATTAAAGTGCAGGGTAAATTCTGAAATGCATGATAAATTCATGTTGAATCTAAATTCATGAAATCATAGTGTTCTAAACATAAATGCCTTCATGTATATTACCAAATAGAAATAAAGCTATCCTTACCTGAATTATTGAAATGTTTGCATCATGAAAATAAGCTCATAAGTGGCCATAACTGTCCTTGAGAAGAACTTGGTCCGTGTGCAATACAAAGTAAAGTTTGACCGCCCCCCTCGTTTTAAAAATCTTCCTGAAGCCTTAATTATTTCCCCAGAATTACGACATCTTTACAGACAGACAGACACAAAATCGAGATCTCGACAATACGTAGCTCGGACAAAGAGACTGGACACAAGTAAACGCGATACTTCGTGTTAAGAATAGTGTGCTGCCTTCGGCAGCAATTAATTACCTGTATTGTAAATTGCGCCATTCCTTGCTTTCCCAGTCGCTCGATATGATTTATCTGATAGTGTAGACTTCTCTTGTTTGATTGCGAAGAGTGTTGGCCAGTATAACGCTCAAAACGACATATTTTTAGCTAACATAACACGCACGCAATAGAATTCTCTCTTGTAGTTTTAACCCATCTAATGACGTCACAAAGTTCATTGACCTTCGAGATAATTTTTCAAAAAATTTTCCAAGATGGCGGCGAAACACAAAGTTTGCATGCATTTTACTCATATAGACTAAAATGTTCGAGAAGGAAATGATAATATTTTCATAGGATTGAAATAGCCAATAAAAATTTTCGTTGCCATTGTCCTTTAACATGTTACTGCAACCAAAGTTCATTCAAACCATTCATAAATGGTACGCTGTATATATTAAGTTCGTCATGGCAACATATTGCATTAAAACGCAACATGTATCAACACGCAATGAAAATAATTTTTAAAGTGCTTATTTTCTCAACAATCGGTTTTACACAATCAGAAATACAGTTAATTCATAATTCCATCAATTCCGATTGTCTACCGTTAATATTTGAATTGTAGGTTAACGTCGTAGGGTTAAGCTAACCGACTTTAAAACAACCGGTCCGAAGCTTATAATTCTAGAGCAATTGAAAGCAAGTTGTTTTTTTATGAACACTGCCCAACAACAAGTTTTCATTGTAGAAATCAGACTTTTCATATTGTTTATATTTTCTAATTTTAGGCTACAATGACACGCAGTGTTACTTAATACGCAAATGTAATCAGACTGGTGGCTATCGTCCAGCACACGAAAAAAAACAATGTGGCTTTGATCTTACAACATTAGGTCCATGTAATCGTGGTAACACATTTGGATACCATGATAATTCTCCATGTTTGTATCTTCGGTTGTCTAAGGTTAGTGGAAAATATAATAGCATTTTGGCCAGGCTATAGGATGGCTATACTAAGCAAAGCACTCCTATAGTCATTGGACTGTGATTTAGAAATTTTGGGATCTTTTGAAAACAGTTGTTTGTGTATAAGAATGAACAGTGACAGATAAAAACATTGTCTGTGCTGCACAAATCAAACTTTTCTGTTTGTCATCAAGAGCATTTTACTGGCCTGCATTAATCTAATCAACCAATGCTGTTGAACTAGACTCGTGCTGATTGGACGGTGGAGTAAATTAAAACTTTTAAATGCTTTGTACAAACATTGAAATTTCACCTGAAAATAGGCAATGGTTTTTTATGTGACTACTTGTTGTGGATGTAAATGACAAGAATTAATATGTTTTAACAAGCAGAGCAAACATATGCACGATTATTTTGTTACAAACATATACATGCATGATTAATTTGTTGATTTGAGATATTGGTTTTGGAACATCATTATTTTGATTTCAAGATAGTGGTTCAAATTTGCCCCAGACAATGTATATCATGTTATTGGAACACCTTATGAATTAAGCAGATGGTTAACAGCAGCATAGGTTTACAGTACAGGCATTTGTATGATCTCACAGTTTACATTATGCATATACTGTTACTTGTATCGACTGTAGAGCCATATGTACATTTTGGTCAAACAGGTTTGCCACTTTTACCCTTGCGCCAAGTGTTGTACGCGCAGATTGGCTTAATACTACTGCACTTCCAAGAGTTTTGTAAGACTATCTTATTATATGGTCTTCAACTACCTATGCAAATGGTCTTCAACTACCTATCCGGACTAGAATAACAAATCGTGTTTCTTCGCAGCAACAAAAACGTAAATTACGAGGAAAATTCAGAAAAAAATTCAACCATAACTATAATCAGGTTTTTCGGAAACGATTGCCATCCCCTCGTACATTCCGACAGCCGAAGTACCCCAGACCCACCCAAACCAAGGACCCGTCACACATCGAGAGGATTGGCTCAGTCACCTAGATTTGGTTTGGGAAATAACGCACCCATCATAATTAGTGACCATAATATCAAAACTACCACCAAATCGCATGAGTTAGCCCGAACAATACCTGTATTAATAAGACCGTTTCCTAACTGTTGCGATCATAATAACTTGAGTCTTCGAAGCAGACCGTCAGGTCATAATAATAGTAACTGTATCGTTATTCCCAGGTGATCTCGTGTTCGTATTTTAGCCAATCAGCGCTCAGAAAGGGTTGTCCGAATAGAAATCCATTTTGATGTATTCAGTCAATTATATCTTTCGTTATTCTTTATGAAACTAGTTGAAATTTCGTAAGTATGTTTGGCTATGAGAACTATAGCTCTGACAAAAATATGGAATCGAAATAAAGTATATTACAGGAGATATTCAGTTGTTTTAAGGGACCGGTCATTGTTTATGGCAGGGGTGGGGGCCGAAGAGAAAATGGTGGGGTAACTGAAAAATAATAGTTGCTTTAGGTGGGGTGGCCAAAAAATCCTTGCATGCAGAGGTGGGGTAAAAAAAATTACCTTACTTTAATCACACACAATACAATATATACTACAATCAGAGTTTAATATGTGATTATTCTAATTTTTTAATAAAATATTATTGCTTTCCAAAACGTTGACAGAAACACACCCCTCAACCCACCCGTAAAGGGTCATTTTTATATTCATTTACACACAAAATCTCCAAAGACTCCAATTACCAGACAAAATATATACTGCCGATATATAGGGGCTGTTTATATGGTGCAACCACAAGCCAACCCCAGGGTACCCAAGCTGGCCCAGTTTTGGCGAGATCCTGCCTTTGTTGTTATTTCTTACTAAAGTTCACTTTGTGTATATATGGGTAAAGAGCGGGCCCAGCTATAGCTAAGCGAGATTCCGCCCCTTTAGCCCGAGATCTTGCTTCAGGAATAGTGACCTTAAGTCTGTAGCCCCTAACCCCGGGCATCCAGCCTCGCCCCCATATAAACATCCTCTTATTACATATCTCAAAAAGTATATGTACAGTCTATTAAATTTTCAGGATTTAATTTTTGGGCATCTACATTCTACACTTCATACTGCATAACTAATATTTATATCCAGTATGTGCTTGTAAACCATGTGGACAATTCAGGTAGCAAATCATGAAATATGCTCCATATGCCCCTTGTGAACCTGGAGAATCATTCCAATGGCTAGTTCACAATATGTTCAACTCTAGTCTTTGGCAACTAGCTGTTTTTCTTTACTAGCAGATCATGTATACATGGATAAAATAAGAGAAATCTATTTACCCGTTTTACAGATTAATTTAATTGTTTATATAATCATACTTGGAATTCGGATGAATATCTTTATCTTCACACTGTATAACAGCAACTTTTTCACATTAATTTACAGTAACTTTCTAAATTCAGATATTCTCACATGGGACAAATACTTTTAATTAGTATCGTTGTATTGTTTATGAATTAAAATATTAAATTGATTTCATAAACTTCAAGAATTCCTTGGGAATTCTTAAGGAATTCCTTTAAAATTCCGTGATAATACATGTGATTGTCTATAGTAATGAAATATTAAAGGATCTCAGAGGAAATTTTAGAATTTAGATAGTTGCAATCATGGGTGAGCACATATTTTGTGAAACTGTTTCAAAATGAAATTGCATTTTAATTAATAAAGAAATGCAAGAATGTGAAAGAAACCAAATTATATACAGTGAAACTTTAAAATGGGAAAGAGATAGGGTGCACGTGGTGAAATACAGTTAGTGCTCTAAAATATTGAAGCATATGGTTAATATATGTTTATGAAACTAGCATTGCACTATCTCGTGAAAAGGGAATATAGCGTTGAATACAAACTATAAAAACCCATTCATATTTCAACTTTACAAGTAGACAAATTTTAAGCCTTCAGATAACTATAATTCTTTATATAGTACCTTGCTATTGTAGGGGTATGCATGAGTCAATATTAACCCCCCACCCCCCACCCCGGGGAAAGGTAGGGTTACCATGGGGATTAGCAGGGGATTATATTAATTTTTGGCCCATGACCCTGGGTTATTTGAAACGTTTTGCATGTCATTTGCCCCCGGGGGTAGGGGAATTTGAACGGATTTTGTTTCGTCTGCAATGCATATGGTCAGCGGTTAAACAACAACAAAACCAAATCGAGGCAACATGACCTTGGAACACATGGAAAAGACGAAACGGTTATTCTGAGCCTGGGGCTTGCTTTCATAGGGTGCTTTGGCTATTACCAATCAATCCTATTCCCTTTTAATTATAATGTCCACTGTGGTCAAAGCACCCTATAATAATTATTATTTACTCTCTAACAGCAGATGATCTTACTCATCAAGGGCAATTTTGTACCTTGATGAGTAATACGCATACAAAATACTAAACTGTTTCATTACATATTTTATGTCTGAACCTTTGACATTGCAACAAAATAGGTTTGAGTGGGGTAAAAAAATTTTCTGGCATTCCACCGGTGGGGTAGCTAGAAATTTTGTTTCGAAAAAGGTGGGGTAATGATTTTTTCCGGCTTCATTATACTTTCTCTTCGGCCCCCACCCCTGCCATAAATAATGACCGGTCCCTAATCATAAAATGGATTTCTATTTGACAACTAGTGCCAGTACTTTTCCGCGTATCAAGATCATCTGGTCCGAGAGCACCACTTAAACGCTGTGGATCACAAAATGTATTTGTACCATCTATAATGCTGTCTAACATCATGTCGCTGACCCCAAAAATTGAAGAATTACATGCGTATATTGCCAATGCAAGTGTGGATATTTTATGCATTGTGGAAACGTGGTTGCAAAATCATATTGACGATAACATTGTTTCATTACCCGGGTATAATTTAATTCGACGTGATAGACGTGAACGCATTCACGGCGGTGTCTGCGTCTATATCCGTAACACGATTAACTTCAACATCCTGCATGACTTCTCAAGTAATGAGTTCGAAGCGTTATGGCTGGATTTAAGACCGACTTGTTTACCAAGAGGCGTGTCTAATATTATTTTATGCAACCTGTACCATCCACCAGGGGCAAATGATCAGTCTATGATCAACTACCTTTTTGAATCATTAGTAACACTCGAAACAGAATTTCCAAACAGTGAGATAATCTTATCTATCTGGTGATTTCAATAAATTGAACGTTCGTCTGTTAAAAAGCAGTTTTAAATTGCGTCACATTGTAAATTTCCCTACCCGTGGTAATAACATCCTGGATCTGATTTTAACTAATATGGAAAAATTTTATGATTCGCCAATTAAACGCCCTCCTTTTGGACTATCCGATCACGTCACCGTAGAAGTTCGACCACTAAAAAGACCTAAAAATTCTGGAACAAAAGCGGTTGTAATGTCAAGGGATTTGCGACCATCAAAACGATTAGCTTTTGGTAAATATATAGAAGAAATTAATGTCAAATATTGGGTAGAAAGTGTTGATTAGTGTGATGATAAAACGAAAATGTTGGAGCATATTATTAACTTTGGTCTTGACTTTCTACTCCCCATTAAAAAGACGATTTTGATCAATAATGAGCCCCCTTGGATGACCAAATCTATGGAAAGCCATAGTGGACAAAAGTAGTCGAGAAATTTTTTTCTGGTCGAGAATATTTTTATACACCTATACAGTCGAGAATATTTTTATACAGTCGAGAATATTTTTATACAGTCGAGATTATTTTTTACCGTCGAGAACTTTTTTTTTACAGTCGAGATTATTTTTTGCAGTCGAGAATTTTTTTACAGTCGAGATTATTTTTTGCAGTCGAGAATTTTTTTTTATAGTCGAGAACATTTTTACACTCGAGAATATTTATTCCAGTCGAGAATTTTTACGCCCCAAATTTTTCCCGCGTTTAGAAAAGGCGATTCTAGTCAATCTGGTGCAAAAGAGATTCTTTCGCAAATATTTAGCCGCATTGGGCAGTTGTCCGATGCCTTGGCGGCTCCTGAGGGATCTTCCAATAATTCTAGCAGTGTTGGGACAAGCGACACGGTGGAGAGTGAGGTTAGGAAGGTATTTAGACGACAACATTCATCAACAACATTCGAGACAACATTGTCATCAAGCGTGGGCACAAACCGCACAAGTATTAGTACAACACAGGGTGCAACCCAAGCTTCCGTTTCAGTTTCACCTTCTCCACAGCTATTCCAGGAGCCAAATCCTTATAACATTAGAAGATACTTCGGTAACCAACGATCAGCAATGAAATCAAATCGTTGGAGAAAAGGAGAGGACCCAAAAACAAAAAAGTAAGTACTGGGCCGTTCTCACGTGACATTATCTTACTCTCAGGACCAGATGACAAGGACATACCCCGTCAAGGAAGTAAAGTGTTTTTGCAAGAAAGTGGACACATTATCAGTGCCTTCGAGTTTCACAAGGAGTGGAGTGACATTGACGTAAAACTTGAAATGCGTCAAGCTTTTCAGGAACCACTGCCTGATGACGTTGATATTGAGATTGTCCATTATGTCCACACAATACTGTTCACGCCTACATTGGCACCAGGTCAACACTTAACTGGTTCTGTAATCAACAGAGTCTTCAGTAACAACAAACCAGTGTATATCAGGCCATGTAGACAAATCCTAAAACAGCCTATGAATAAAGAGAAGCGTCAAAAGTATAATTTTCTTGACAATGTATTCGATGACAATGATTGTGATCGGATGCCACCAACTATAAATGAGAACGAAAACTCATTTGATGCATTGCAAGGTAAGAAATGCCAGAAGATATCCTATTTATGAAATAGGAGGCATGGAGCTATATGGGTGGATTTACTTGTGGTTTGGGGGGGGGGAGGGGTGCACACCTCTCCTAGTCTTACAAAGTAAAATAGTGGATTTGGCAGGGGCATTTTTCAAACAAAACCACAAAATGTGGCTATTAGGGGCCAGGCAATTCTATATTAAATTTTCAACTATTTCCAGTTGGGTTGCTTAGTCATGATGAACTCTGGGTTAATAAACAAGTACATCCTGTTTTATGAGTACAGAAATTATGCACAGCTCTAGCTTGCTTACAATCCCCCTGCCAGGTAAGGGTCCACCCCTGTGAAGCAATAACGCTTTTGAATGCAAGTAAATTTTTCTCACTATTGAAAATTTGATTTGTTAAAATAGTCACAATTCCATCACACCTTAAAGTTCAGGTTACTTATATATCATGTAACCAACTTTTTTTATGCAGCTTCTTAGTTGCAAAATTTGCATTAGCCTGTGTGTGCCCACTCTTGGCTTACTTGACATTTAGCCAAGACATTTAGTTTCACTGTCATGTATGCCTTTCCATATCCCAATTCAGGAATGATTATGTACAAACAGTACAACTCCTAAAACAATAATAAAAATTCATCAGATTATAAATTTCTAGAACATTGCAATGATGTCTTGAAAATTTTTTTGAAAAAAGTCCAGTTAACTGCATAGAAAATTAAAGTGTAATGCTGATCTTTTTTGCGAATTTAATCCTGATGACTGATGATTTTATTGTTGTTTATGGAGTTGCATGGATTTGAGATAACAGACATGGTTTAAAATTAAAGAAATTGTGGAATGTATACATTTCAGAATTTTGTGATATTTTCAATTTGTTCAAATTACTTATAGATAATATAAACTACCAAACAAATCAAGTCCAGCCCGGAGAAACGAGTCAAATTGCTGTGGTCCTTGATAAACCAATCCAGCAACTGCAAGTGCCCAACATTAACCAGACTAAAGCATCTGGACATGAAACTTCCAGCCAGCTGGAACAGATCAGGCATGTCCAACCTGATGATACTATTGTAGATATGACCCAGCTGTCCCAGCATGAACCATCTAGCCAAATAATGCAAAACAACCCGAGTCAAACGGACATGGAAGAACCACTTCTATTACAAGGTAAATGATTTTCCAAATTAGATAGAATTTAACTGCTTAAAGTTCATTATTGAAGGACAGATGTATTGACCAATTAACTGTCACACTGTTTAACGCCAGATTATACTGTGATTGCCAGATTATACTGTGATTGTCAGATAGTATAAAAGTAGCACAAAATCAGTATTTTTGAGCATTTGCCACCTAAAAGGAAGGACGGCATTGAACTGTTTTGGGATCCACCCACTTCCCCTCGGCTGCGACACTTCAGAAGCTAGCTTCGCCGCACTCTACCTTCGGCTGAAAATTATTTATCCCCAATCTTAATATTCCTTCAGTTAAAGGTATTGTGCGGGGAAGCAAGCAGTGAGAATATATAACCATGCATGTTGTTTTGGGGACTTTTATAATTGGCTGTAAATAAAGTGTCCCAGGAATTTTAACACCCCTACAATGTTTCCCCCAGGGGGGCAAAATTCCTGGAAACTCGCCCCCCTTTGGGAAATTTGCCCCCTTTAGAAACTTCACCTTTTCTGTAGGATTTTCGTCCTCTGTTCAAAATTTCGCACTTCCTAACAGTTGCGTAGGATAATTATTACATGGCTTTAGTCATTTGAAATCAGTATCAATTCCAAATTGTTACGAATACAAATTTACAATTATGAGTAACAAAAGGCACTTATCGTACGCTTCACAGCACACCATGCATATTTTGCATTTTCGATGTTAATCCTTAAATTCATTGTTAAAAAGTAATCACAGTGGCGATTATTGTAATTCAGTGGTATACCAAATATTTTCCAAATGCATTTACAAAATAAAAAAAATTTATTAATTTAAAGTATTGTTAAAATTGTTTGGCATCCACGTTTTGTCGTTATTGGAAAATGTATGGCTTATTATAAGTTTGAGATAAATTTTATAAATACGTGTAGATCGGATTCACCATCCACAAAATTTTTAAAGGCGGGTTTTTTCTCTCTTAATTGCCACATACTGTAGAGGAATTTACGAGTATCCTTGACCATGTGGTTGTGACTGGTGAGATATTTTTTTTTGCATTGGCAGATTATAGAGATGTAATCATTGATGCACACGATGAGTTAGCCAACGATCGTCAAGTTGAGGAGAACACTCAGACTCGGTTGGTTAAAGAAATCGCTATTAACCGCAACAACGTGTTAAAGGATATGATCATTGCATTTAAAGACGAAATAATTTTGTCTTGTTGCCTTGAAATTGTATTTATCGACGAGAGAGGAAACATCGAAGACGGAAGAGGTGCTGGTGTAAAGAGAGAGGCGCTCAGTATATTTTGGAGAGAATTTTACAACTCACTTGCTACTGGTGCTTCCGAAAAAGTTCCAGCGATACGTCATGACTACCAGCAAAGTGAATGGAAAAGTATTGCGCGTGTCCTTGTTGCAGGATTTACCAAGTTTGGATACTTTCCTGTTACTCTGTCGACTGCATTCATAGCTTCCTGTCTCTTCCCGGAGGAATTGCTTGCTAAAGAATGGCTTGTAGAATCTTTTCATCAATACATATCCAAAGATGAGAGTGAAACTAAAAAGAAGTGTCACTGACGAATGCCCTGATCCATCAACAGACGAGGATGTGACTGACGTGCTCTCAAGCTACAAGTGCCGCAGAGTGGTTAGAAAGGACACAATGCCAAAAATAATCGAAGAATTAGCACATCAAGAGATAATACAGCGTCCGAAGTACGTAGCTAATGCCTGGTCTCTGATTGTGAACGAACTTAAACGTTTGGAAGAATTTAAAACTGTTGATAGCTTGGTGAGATTTTATGAAGCTAAAAAGCCCACTCAGAAAAAGGTTTGCAAGCTCTTGACCTCAAATCCAGCCACCGATGCCCAAAGAGAGTGCTTCTCCCATTTGAAGCGGTTCGTTAAGTCCCTCGACGACAACCTAGTAAGTATTTTTCTCCAATATGTTAGTGGTAGTAACATCATTGCTTTTGATTCAATTCAAGTTGCGTTTAGTGAAGAAAGCGGTAAAACACGTCGACCCGTTGCGCACACATGTGCTCCTCTACTTTTAATACCATCAACCTACTAATCATACAACGAACTATCAGAGGAGTTCAGTAACATCTTCCGACGAGAAGCCGCATGGTCATTTTACATAGTATAATGCATTATATATATATCCTGCATATAGGAGAACAAATAAAATTATACTTTTATGCTATAATCGAGTTGAGTTAAAAATCTTTTAGAAGATACTTTGTGTTCCGTTAAGCTATGAAGGATTTTTATTCTACAACATCCTATAACATCTAAAATGATATACGTATTGGACAAACTTAATGTTTTGTTGACTGCAGGGCCTTTAACATATACCTTGGGGGAAGAAATGCCCACCTTGGGCCCTCACCACGCGAATTAATCAATACCACCCAGGAAATACTAAGAATAGTAATGAGCTGCCCATGAGAGGGGTTTGTCCCATGGAAACAAGTTTCTTACAAAGGAAGCATTGACTCCAAAAATCTGGACATCACTATAGGGCCGGTTGTACGAAGGTAGTGATTTTTTATTCTTTTTAAATACGGCTGCTCTTTATATAACCCAGATTAAATGTTAGAATTTATAAATTAAAGCTTCTTTCATTACTTGTGGAGTTGTGGCTTCAAATCCGTATAGTTTCATATCATTTCAAAGCAATTTTATGCCGGTTAAAAATTTGACTCATTGATCCGGTGAATAGCGCTATCCACCCTTCGTACAACCGGGCCTATCTCCCCAAAGTTACAATTTTCTTTTGCTCAAGCTGCCGACCTTCCACACAAAAAGATCTGTGAAAGTCCCTTCGAATTCTTATACGTAACAACAAAATAAGATTTTTGCCACGAGGTCCCTATTTAAGAAAATATCCTCACAAGAATATATTTTTAAAGGCCCTGTTTGTTTACTGATGTTCGTATCGTGATTATTTTAATTAAACTGTTCTATTGTTGCTGAAATTGTGCTTTTAAATAACGAGACGCTCTATTGAGCGTTAGTCGCTGGGGCTATTGCATATTACGCTGCATGCGATTGAGATTAAGACTGCTATTTGTTTAAGTTTATGTGTTCATATAATAAAATTGTTTTTGTCAAAAATGGGATTCAAGGAAAAATTAAAACAAAGTTCATTAAACAAGTCCCCGGACTATAGACGATAAACAAATTTGTCTAAGTTTGGTTATATCCAATTCACAACTTTACATAAGTCACATGCCTTAAGGCTGCATTCCAGTTACGCGTTTTTCATACGTGCGTACACGCACGTAAAAGTTGAATTCGTTTTACATCCTACTTATGAAATAACTAAATTTATAAAAGGACAGCATTCAGTTTTGTGTATGATTTAATGTGTATTTGTTAAGGTTATTTGCACTTATATGAAATTTTAAGCGAATTCAACTTTTACGTGCGTGTACGCACCTATGAAAAACGCGTAACTGGAATGCAGCCTTAAGTATCATTGTTCTAGTGTACTGAAGCATAGAGTAGAACAAAGATAACTAAGCTTTAGAATTATCTAGCTACATGCATGAATGAATGAATGACTTTTATAGTGTATAGGGCTTATCAAATGCTTAGTTACCTCTGTTCTATTCTATGTGTGAACTACTGTAGAATACTAACTAGGCATGAATATTTAAAGTTGTGAATTGCATAGCAACAATGTAACTAACTTTGCCAAATTTATCTATTATACAAATTAATATGTTCTGTGTGTTTGAATTGTACAATACCTATTGTGAGATAACAGCTGTCCTGAGAGCTTTTAAAATATCATTTGCCAGCAAGGCAAGAAGCTCTATTAAACCCTTGTCCCATTAAGCAGATTCTATTTACATCCAAATAAACAGCAACTTGCGAATATTATTGTTGCAATTTACGAAGTTCCAACTTTGTGAAAATTGTGAACTTTTGTCGTCTATTTCAGGCTTCCAGCCTTCCAAGTTTACTCATATAAGATGACTTTCGGTTTATAAAGTCTGGCTGATGGGAAAACTATTAAGTTTCATCGAAAAAATGAAGAAAATATGCACAAAATCGATGAAATTATTTCCAAATACGCTCCCAAGTAGGCGGCCATCTTGAATCCAGCGACTGAAAGTAATGACGTAGTGTTTGACAAAAAAATGACGCAGGTCATTTTGTGACCAACAATCCGCGATGAAGCCGAAACCTATAGGCACAGAGTGCCCCAGCGACTAATTACGGACTGTGAGGTAATGGTGTATTCCGTGATTGCTGTCATCGCTTAAAGGATCTGGAACAAGGCGTCTTATTTCACTGACTTGATTTTCGGTTAAATTAATTGTACTTTCAGGGACAACAACCATATTTTCGGTTTCAATATCACCGACTGGACCATCAGGATCGATGCCATATAAAGTTATGTCCCCGATATTGACATCAGTCACACCAATTTCAATAACCTCCGAATACCAAAGTGCAAGAGGCGAGATACTATGCATAGTTCGTACTCCATGATGATTCCATTGGTTAACAAACTCATTCAGCGATGCCTGTATAGCTGGAAGATAAATATAGTGTAGGGCATATAGATCAAGCTCATCATGGGCGTCAAGAATTTCACTTTTGTCCATGAATTGGAATAGATCTTTATAATAGGCGGAACTAACTCTATTCACGCTCTATTCTTTGGTTATGGACACTACGTCCTGCTATGAAGCTCCCTCTGTTTAGACCTCTATTCGCAATCATAAATCGAGCAACATCTACATTTTCTACGCCCCTGTACCCTCGTACGCGGGAGGGAAGTCCAAATTTTTGCGTCCCATTGACAAAACATTGCAAAACTGTATGTGCATGATTGTTAGTGAAACACTTCACCATTACCAGAAATATGGGACAAGATGGCGACGGACATGCGCACTTTGACCAAATATGGCGGCCAAATATTACTATAAACTATATGGGGGTTGATCAAAATGTCAAATTTTAATATACTTTGTTTAAATATTTCATGGTTGCCGAGTTCGATTATAGTAGCGACACGAACAAGCAATATTTCTAAACAAAAATCGCTAGTATTGCACGCGTCTAGCTGGTTCCTGAGAATGTTGTATTTTTACTCGGAATTCGATGAATTTCATAGTGTAATTTATAGTAAACTTGTGACACAAGAGGTAAATATCCGACGAATAGACCAACATCCATTCGGGCGATGCAAAGTGCCGAGTTCGCGATATATTTAATGATGTCCAAACTGTTAATTTAGCTAAATAAATCGCTGTAATTTCCAGGGAAACTGGTTCCCGAAACGTTTAAAAGTTCGCCTTTTACGGTTCTTGTATGTCGCCATTAGGCCATCTTAATATCCAAAAACGACAAGTTTTAATACAAATTTGAGCTGTTTCGAGCAGCCATGTTTCTTGTTTATTTTGAAAGACTAGATCCGGGCTCTCTCACGTAAAAACACAGGGATATTTTAGGATTTTTTAGGATATTTGCGATATTTTTAGTCTTGATAAAAATTTGCGGGGTTAAAGGTCAAAATACCGGAAGTGCTCAGCAAAAACTGCAAAGTATAGTTTAAAATCACAGTTTTTGGTTGAATAATACTTGAATTGGAGATTCAAAGTAAAATGCGAAGTCGTTTTACTTATGTTAAGCAATGTTAGGCATATAAAACTGACTTAGCCGCTGACACCTAAAGCGGTGCAAAATGTTCCATATTTCTGGTAAACTGAAATATCGGGGAAAGAAAAGGAAATAAATTTAATATAATAGTACCATCGTTTCAGAGCTGCTATGAAAAGAAAACTATGGAATTACGTCAAACATTCCAAAGTTTACATTTTTTGCAGATGATACATTTCCCACATATTTTATGTTGAACATGTAGATTAGTGATAAGTCGACTAGTAGATATAATAAAATGAAAGTATTAATTTAATAAAATATTTTGTTGCTACAGGTTTACTGTTGCGACACCCATAGCCGATTCAAGAACTATGGATATTGTACTAATTGGGTAACGATGGAAACAATCCAAGAAAATGTCACTTTCAAAGTTTCATAATTCTATGGACTGCTGAAGACATTATTATTGCATACGCAGTTGGAAAACTCAGCAGGTGTGGAATTACCGCTTACTAAACTGCATGCGAAAACACGATTTAGACTGGTCACGTGACTCCTTTGAGGGTTGGCTGAAATATGTAAAAGCAAAGATCGAGTTTCTAGGAGTGTTTATTTCGAATATCGCGATTGACAAAAATGCGAAAGTTACTTTTGTTGTCTAGATTTTTCTGTGGCAAAATTTACTATTAATTTAATGCCGGCAAAACTCAACCTTGCAACGTTTTTAAATCCTGCCTCTCATGTGTGGATAGTTTCCGTTAGGATGTTTACCTTGTTTGACATTTTTCACCATCAAAGGAAAAAAATAACAACGTCAGCGGATGTTGCGAGCTTAGTGCTAAGCTGCTTGATTAACTATAACCAACTTGCAATAATGGAAGGAAAGCAAACGTTCTTATCAACGACGTAGCTGTTGAGTAAATTTCTAACTACCACGCAAGGCGACTAGCTTAGCAAGCTTTACACTTTAATAACTGATTCCGTTTTAATTAATAAACAATTAAAATCCATAATCATTTTACCCTGTCGAAAACGTTTGATTTGTAACAGACTATTAATGTAATTCCCAGCCGAAGGACAAACAGTATGTTTGCTCAAACCGATACAATATGAGTAATAATGTAGGTGATTTCGATCCGAATTTTTTGGGCAAATGAAGGCTGGAAGAATGAAGGGTTATCTAATATTCATAATAGTGAGGAGGTGGAGTGAAGAGTGAGCTCGTTACATATTCAGGGGGGGGGGGCACCTAAGTTTTCCCATGATCGTTTGCATTAAATGAGGGGCGCTTGGCGGCGAAGTGTGGAGGAGTTGTGCGCAATTACGTCACTGATTATGCACGAGGAAAACTTATTTTAACATCTTCCAACAATATCATGCAATTATATTCGAAAGAGTCGACACTGTTTTATCCAACCGTGTTCGATCGAATAAAATAAATACTGATCACGGGCTTAAAAACGCTGGGAAGCATTTTTTGTAACCAGAGTTATCTTTCGCTGCATGAAACATGGCATTTGCACAATATGATATCCAACAATTTGTTGGAACATACAGTTAAGAATTTGAAATGGCAGTTTGGAAGTATTTTACTATTTTCTTTCCTTCGCGACGCAATACTGAATTGAACGTCGAGTTCATAGAGACAAATGTACCAGGCCATATTTTAAATAACATCACTTGTCTATCGCAAAAAGCCCCGTTCGATAACAAAAGCGAAGTATACTGTACAAAGACTGACAATTGATCATTTGCCTAATAGACTAAATTTTGATCTAAACA